TTGCCTTTTCTACATTTATATGTCTCTTTTTGATTTGTTTTCCTGTCTTTAGTATGTTGAATTACATTAATTATTTTGCTTTGTTTTGTAGTACTGGGGGTGGAGCCCAGGGCTATCACACTGAGACACATTTCCAGCCCTTTTTGATCTTTTATTTTGATTTGGAGTGTCACTGAATCACTAAACTACACAGGCTGGACTCAAAGTTGCAACCCTCCTGCCTCAGCCTCCCATAGCACTGAGATTATAAGCATGTGCCACTAAACCCAATTATATTGATTTCTGAGTATTATAATAACCTTATATATTTTTTAACCTTATATTTTTTAGATAAACTCCATTTGATCATAATGTGTAATCTTCAAATACTATTAGAGTTGATTTGCTACAACTTTTCACAGAATTTTTCCATCTGTGTTACAGGGACATTATGGGCAATTTTCTTTTATGAGGTTGCTTTTCTTTGAGTTTGGTATGAGAGATAGCTTGACCTTTTACAATGAGTTCTGGAGTATTCTCTTATCCTCAATGTTTTAGAAGGATGGTATGAGAGATGCGATTTCCTTAAATTTTTGCAGGCAGGTTTTTTTTGTACAAATGGTTTAAAGTTTAAAATTTAATTTCTATAACATATGCAAGCCTATTCATGTTTTTCCTCAATTTTTATATTTTAACTAAGTTTAGTGATATGCTTTTGATATGCATAATGACCACATTCATCACAGGGAATTTCTACCTGTACATGATCTATCTTGATTCTGCATGTTTGTAGTACACAGTGATCACGTTTCCTGTGGTTAGCTGGTGCATGTACATGACACATCTCAGTTCTTTTTCCAGTACCCTCCCTTCTTCCTTCCCTCCCTCCCTGGATGGGAGGGAGGGATTTGCAAAAGATCTCTCTCCCTCCCTGGATGGGAGGGAGGGATTTGCAAAAGATCTCTCTCCCTACTTCCTATTATCTATCATTAATTTTGCTCTTCATTTATGTTTTGGATTTCTCATGCAAAAGAAGCCATGCAATATTTAAGCTTGTGTGCCTGATTTCTCTCACTTAACATTCAAGGTGCATGGTGCATCCTTTTTCTATCTTGTTACTGGCATTAAAGTCATTCATACTACTGCCTTTCCTCTTCATAATAATGTACCCTTAGGATCTATTCCACTGTGTCCTCTCTCATTCCCGATATAGGTGGCTTGAATTCTCGCTCTTTATCTCTATCTCTCATGTGTCTCAAAATCTGACTTGAAGTTTCAGAATTTTATTGAACACTCAAAGAACCTATTGTGGTTTTAAATTTGAGTAGAGTTTATGAATTTTATTTGTTGAAAAAGTTGTTTAGCTTTGTTGATATTTCTATCAGGAAAGAGCTCTTTTTCTCTGTATTTATTTTCATTCTGTATTTTATCTTTGATTTTCTTCCTTCTGCTTATTGGGATTCTTTTTTTTTTTTTTGGTTTTTCTCCGGTACCAGGAACCGAACTCACGACCTTGCACTTGCCAGGCAAGCGCTTTTGCCGCTGAGCTAAATTCCCAGCCCCTGATTCATTTGTTTTTATTTCCGTAATTTCTTAAGTTAGATATTAAAGTCATTTATTTTCTTATGTTCTGGTAAAGGCATTTTGTACTATAGATTTCCATATAGATACTGATTTCTCAGCATCTCACAAAATTTGTTACGTAATGTTTTCCTTTTTCTTCAGTTCAGAACACTTTAAATACCTCTTTTGATTTTGGCTTTGACCTATGAATTATTTAGAATGTTTGGTTTCTGAACAACTGGGCCTTCATCAGGGATCTTTCTATTGTTGATTTCTAACTTAGTTTCACCCTGGTCAGGGAATACAGTTGGTAAGACTTGGACTTCTTGAGAAATATATTCAGACTTCCTTTAGAGGTTAGAATATTGTCTATCTTGGTAAAGTTCTGTGTGTACTTGAAAAGAATGTGTATTCAGCTATTGATAAGTGTATGTTCTGGTCAGGCATGGTGGTGCATGTCTATAATCCCAGCACTTGGGAGGCTGACGCAGGAGGATCACTGTGAGTTCGAGACCAGCCTAGCCCACAAAGTGAGCTCAAGGCCAGCCTGAACTGCATAGTGAGAGCCTGTCTCAAATAGACAAAAAAAGAAAAAAGAAAAGAAAGAAAAAAAGTATGTTCTGTCAATTAGGCCAGACTAATAATGTTCAAGTCTTCCTTCTTTTTATGAGTTTTCTATTTGTTCTATCAATTACTGAAGCCATAATTGTGAATGTTTTTATTTTTCCTTTCAGCTTTATCAGTTTCTGCCTCATGTGTTTTGAAACTCTGCTATCAGGCGCGTGAGCATTTAGAATTAACACATCTTCTAGTATATAAATTGACGCCTGTATCATTATGAAATGCTCCTCTTTATTCCTGGTAATACTTTTTGGCTCCAGAATCTGCTAATAAAGCAGGCTATAAACATAGCCACTCTCGATTTCTTTTCATTAGTGCCATCACAATATATATTTCCCCATCCCTTTTCCTTTAAACTTTTTGTGTCTTTATATAGTTAGAGTGGTCATTAGAGTCAGAGCACACATTTTTATCCTTCTTGAAAATATCTGCCTTTTAATTATTGTGTTTAGACCATTTACATTTAAAGAGATTCTTGAAACAGCCAGATTTAAATCTACAGTGCTATTGTTCCCTACTTACTGTATCTATTCTATTAAAAGGAAAAACTTCAGACAAATTAAATTTAACAGAGCTGCATTGTTGAAAATCCTCAGAACCAGAGAACTTCTGAGAGCTTCATGCCCTCACTCAGCACTTATGGAAGGGAGGCTTAGTAGCTCGATTGGTGACAGCTGGGCATTTGCCTCATTTGCCTCAGAGGCCTGTCATGGACTGAGGACTGCCTGAGTCTCCCCTAGGTGGAAGTCCCAAAAGCATACTCTTAAAGTTAGACCTGCCCTTTGTTTGGGTACTGAATTGGGTTACAGATCATTGTGCAAGTATTCAAAGTATAGAGGCCAACTCAGGCCAAATTTAGTTTAGTTTAGCAGTTCGTGCTATGTTTTTCTTTCTCTGCACTGTTTTTGGATAATTATTTCATGCCTCCATTTTCTTTCTTTTATTTATTTACTTTAAGTCTTTGTTTAAACAGTTTTAATGTTTACCTTAGGCTTTTCAGTATAGATCTTTATTGTAGACTACCTTCAAGAGATTTGAATGAGAAGGAATGATAAATTCTCATTCCTTTGTGTAGACCCAGATTTCCACCTGCTGTTATTTCTCTTTTGCTCAAAGAACTTCATTTAACATTTCTTAGATTTCAGCTTGGTGATGAGATCTCTCAACTTTCATAGCCCTGAGGGAAGACTTTCCAGCTATTTTTGCTCATGGGCTGGTGTGTCTTAGATATAAATCTGTACAGTTTGATTATTTGTGGGTGCACAGTATGGAAAGTGAGGATGTGGAGAGCGAGACTGTTTTGTAGTAGTAAATTCCACAGGGGAGAGGGTGGGCAGGGTTTCGAAGAGAGTGACCGGCCACAGATAAAATCAAGAACATTGACCTGGAGTAACTGTAAGGAAGAACAGATGTTTGCAGACAATGGATTTGTAATGTATCCAACCAAACTCGGTTTAAATCTAGGATCTGCCATTAGATAGCTGGTAGAGTGGTTGTCAGCAAGTTAAACTTCTTTGAACTTCAGTCTTCCTGCCCATGAAAACAAGTTCCTTCCTTCCCCCCAAGGTGATCAGCACCGAGAAATGAGGCCACGTATTCCACATGCTGGCCAACACCAACACAACGTGCGTGCTCAATACCTCCGAGGAAAAGATACCCAGCTCTCCCGTACTTTGTTGCCTATGTAATGAAGGAAAAGTTCCGGGATCTCGGTTTCCTACCCCTACTTTCTCTCCTCCCCCTCTCCTGCCTCTCTTCCTCCCATCCAAAAGAGCATGCTTGAAATCCAAATGCCAGGCTGTCTGCAGGTGTGGTGTTCACAACTGATAACGTTTGGGGGCCAGATGTTAACTGACGTAAACGATATTAAGTGCTATGTCAGCCGGAGGCTGAGGCATTGATTTCCAATTTTATGGTTGTTATTTGAGTTACTGCCACTCCCCCTGTCCTCCTACTTCAACCACAAAGGAGATAGATGGCCTATTCATTCTCAAGAGAATATAAATTAGTTTTTAGGTACAAAGTTCTTAAAATGTTAAGTAATGGCATTTACAACCGCAGGACTGGAAATGCATCCCTGATGGAGAACCGCACCTGCTTGAAGCTAATGATTTATGAAATGTGATCCGACAGCCAGTCTCCTTTTCTGAAATCAGCTCAGAGTAATGACCACAAGAGAACATTTCAAACCTGTGACCAGTTTTTACATCAACTGATATTTTAAATTTGAGTTTCCTTAGAATTGCTGTGGGAATTGGCCAGAAGTCAGGAAATAAATAATTCTCTCTCCAAAGGAAGAAATGCTGATTAATTTTGTTGTCTCCTCCTCCTCCTCCTTCTTCTCCTTTTTTTCTGTGGTGCTGGGGATTGAACCCAGGGCTTTGTCAGGCTGGGCAAGCACTGGGACTCTGAGCTACATCCCTAGCCCTTGAAGAAACCCTTTAAAAACATATGAATGAGCAGGTCTGCTTTGAACCCCTGATGTCGTTGGTGGTGTTCATTATACCCACACAGTCTATTGTGCACATATTAATCCCCTGAGCAGGCATTTGTTCAGAACTAGCAGCATGTCCCAGGCAGGTGTCCCAGGCAGTGCTAGGCACTACTAGTTAATACACTGGTAGACACAACAGATGGCCCTTACAAGGCTAGGAGTCTTATAAGAAAGGGAGACAATTTTTTGAAAAAAACATAAATGTAGCTAGCAGCTGGACTAGGTACTCCAAATAAAAGTGACCTATTAATTAGTGGGAGAAAAACTTTTTTAATAAGTGACTTAACCCAACCCTTAAAGAATGATCAAGCAGCCATGCAAAGAACAGAAGAGAAAACAAGCAGAGAAGCCAGCATTTATTTATTCCTTGAACAGATGTTCGCTCAGCTTGTCTATGAGCTGGAAGCGTTAGAAACAAGAAAGATCACCAGTAAACAGAGCACATGAGTGGAAGACACGGGGGTGGGAAAGATGCCACCTTTCTGAAACACAAAAGACATCCAGGAGCTGGAGCTCCCTGGGCAGAGGGTGGGACGCCCAAGAGGAGTCTTGAGATTTGCAGTCTGTGGAAAGGAGTTTGGATTTTATTCCAAGGGCAGCGTCGTGCTTTTACTATACTTTTGTTTCAAGACTGATCTTGCTGTCGTGGCAGAAGGTTTGGAGAAATGGCTGCAGCGGGGAGCAGAAGCAAGGAGATCAGTTGGAGCCTTCATCCTGTTGGAAACCTGTGTGCCTAAAGCCACGATGGTCATCAAGCAGGTGGTTCCCTACAGGGCGGGCAGCACGTGTTGGCCAACAGGAAAAAGAAAGGAAATAAAATTACAGATGACTGCTTGGTGTGACTGAGGAGGAGGGGGCTGCGCTGACACAGAGGGGGAGCCGGTGAGTGTGGGCCACTCAGGAGGAGAGCAGCTGAAGTTTAACAGACATTTACGTTTCCTGGCCCAAGTCATGAAGAGTTAAATCAACCCAAAACTGCAGTGCACTGTCTCCTGGGGTTAATACATTCCGCATCACTGAGGTGTACAGACAGAGGCTAACTGTCCATCTCTGCAGTATTTCAGGTACTGGTTTCCAACTCATTTCTAGAAATGACTTCCACATGGCATGTGAGAATTTACAAAAGCAGTAATTTCTTGAAGCTGTCCCTGGTTGAGGAAGAGCTTGTTTTCCCAGATTATTCTCATTTCCCTAATTGCCTGTGAGCTCCTGAATGCTGGCACCATTACTTCTCAGTAAATATTTTATTTAATTAATTGATCTTGTTATTGGCAAGTCTACCTCACTTATAAATTGGAGTATTTATATCTCGTTAAAAAAGCATTGGAATATCTCTTACAACTTCTTTTAGAAAGTAGAGAATGTAGTCTGAGACACACAGTAGGGTGACCTACTATGCACATATTAATCCCCTGAGCAGGCATTTGTTCAGAACTAGCAGCATGTCCCAGGCAGGTGCTAGATACTACTAGGTAATACACTGGTAGACACAACAGACCTGTATACCCAAAGTGCATACTGGGTACACAAAAGGTCATTCCCATACCCTGTATAAAATCTCCCTGAAAAGCATTTTCCTTCACAAATACAGTGTCCCATCAGGGGACCTCATCTTTCCTAAGAATGTCTGTGCTGTAGAAAGTGACTCTTACTGTTAAGAGTCATCAGATTCCTTAGCAGATTTTAACCAAGGAAAGTTTGAGAGTTAGCCTGTGAAATTTCAACCATAATTAGAAAGCAGAAAGAAACTTGCACTCACATTATAATATTCTTATTCCTAAACACATTTTTTAACCTGGAAATAGATAGGATACGTTGTAAATTTTCTAGAAAAAAAATGGTCTTGTAATTATGAGGTAAGATCATTTGTATCATGTCTTGGTTTTCTTGGGCATCAAATAGTATAATAGGAATAACACAAAGTGAAGTTATTAACACAATGTGAAGTTATTAAGGATCATAACAAAATACGTTTCTGTGCATATGAAACAAAGCTCTTTAAAAATGGCCTCTATCTTACAGCCTCATTAGAAAAATTAGGTGTTGGCATTCGTTTTGCAGTTCTGTTTCTTTGGAGAAATGTGTTAACCCCCAAAAAAGATCTCAAGTGGTAACTAAAATAGTTCCCAAGAAAAGTCCTCAGCAGAGGAAAGATTTTTGCAAAGGACCATGGAGAGGGATTTCTGTGGTACCCCCATCTCTCACCCCATCCATGCCCAGCGATGAGGGTGCTGCGCTGTGCGGTTGCTGGCCATCTCTTTCGGGTGGGCGTCCTGTGGAAGAGGTGGTGTTTGTAGCAGACCCTTAATTCTTCCTCACGGGAGAGCTGTGAGCAGCTGATTAGAGCAGGGAGCAAGGTCTGACTCGTTTCTCACACCACTCAGTCCTCACTGGAGAAGCCCCGGGTGCTGCCTGTGATGGAGATCAAGCGGAGTTCATGGAACTTCCTCAGTCCCAAGTCATTGGTTCTTTCACTTGTTTATTCATCACACTTCTATTAAGTGCCTACAGCCAGACAGACGTGGCCCTGTGCACTGGGGTAAAGTATACAGAACAGGTGTTCTGTACCTTTACAAACACAGCCCTCTGAGGGAAGACTAGTAAACTAACCATGTGCTAGACAAGTGTTATGCGACAGACCTAGGTATCCAGGTACACAGATACCTACACATTAATATAGATGTAATTATATTGTAACTAAAATAACTACAGTTATTATTTTAGTTATTAATGTAGACATATATGATAAGGTGTGTATATATGAACTGATGTATACTAATATATAATAACAATGCATACTTACACACACTTACATAATAACAACTATAACTATATACTCTTGTAGAACAACTAACCCAGCTAAGAAAGAAGCTCAAGCACAGGGAAAATTAAGTCATCAGCGTAATACAGTAATTGACACTAAATTCCAAGCATCATCTGACCAGTCCTTTGCTGAAAGGGGTGTAGAAATGAAGCAAGAATCCAAGAACAAAGAAATCTTTGCCATAACCTTTATCAGACCTCAACTCAGATGACATCACCCGAGAAAGAGGGGAGGGGTAGCTATCATGGGTGGACCACGTGGCTATCACAGGTGGGCCTGCTGGCCACCCTGCTGACCCCGTGGACTACAGCAGCGTTCTCCGAACTGTCTCTACCACACCCTTGCGTTTTCCTCTTCTTCCTCTGTGGCTATCACCATGACCCGAATCTCTCTCACTGGGTCACCTATGGCGCATCCTTGGCCCAAGGACCTTTCTGTCTTGCACGTTGCTCTATTCTCAAGCCAACAGCAATGCCTTGTTCCCCAGTGGGCACTCAGTAAAAAATGTTCTGAATGAGTGAACGATCGTCACCATCAACACAAGGCCACACCTGAGAGCCAATCTTTAGTCTCTCCCAAAAGCCATGAGACGTCTCATCATGGAGGCACCCGGCGGTCTCCTACCCACAGCTTCGTCTCGGTGGAGAGATGCTGCGGAGTGCGGGGCAGGGAATAGGGAGTCCCTGCTTCCTATCGGCTTGTCCCTCACAGAGCAGGAGCTGGACCGGATCCAGGAGCCCCAGAGCTCCGCAGCCTTGCGGCGCTGCCTCTGGTTAAGCCTTTCTGGAGAAAGTAGCTTGGGATTGTTGCCACAAATGTAATTTTCAAAACCCCTGGGAAAGACAGAAAGTAACGGGGAGCTGCTGGTAGAATTCAGATGAGTCACACAGCAGCATTCTCCTTCCTGGTAGGGGGAAGGAGAGCCATAGACTTTGGAACCAGATTCTTGGGGTTGAATTGCAAGATCTTGCTGTAGTCGTGACAGAGGGGGACATGGGCTCTCTTACCCCTGGCTGCTATCCCGCTGGGTTCAGGCCTGTGTTAGAAATTAGGGCTGGCTCCTGCCAGCCGTAAACATGCTTGTCACTGTCACACTGTGAGTAAAGGTGCAAGTCCCACCCAGCTTGCCCTCTGCAGGAGCCGGACAGCACACCGAGGTGATGCCATTGTAAGTGCATTAGTAAATGGCTAAATAGCTCTTTCTTCTCATCAAAAGTATAACGCAGCATTTGAAGGTGCTCGTTTCTGACTGTGACTAGGGGGAATCTGTTCTAACAGAACATCAAAGAAACAGTATTTTCACATGAACACCCCTGCCACACATGTAGGCGTACACAAACGTACACCTTATTATAGACAAAATAGTTCTTGTCAGCAAAATGTCCTGGGACGGCATGGCCAGGGTACTGAAGGGAGGACAGGACCAGGCTGTGAAAGGCCAGAAGGCCACAGTGCCCTCTCTTAGGAGCTCCGCTGTGGTCTGTACCTGCCGGAGGGTCTAAGCCAAGAGGAACTTTGCGTCAGGTGACAGACAGAGACTGTGAATTCCTTGTGCTCACTCAGCAAGTACTGTGTGTGCCTTTTGGTGTGAGACTCAGCTTCGGGGTCTGGAAATACAAAAACGCGAGGCCTGGTTCCTGCCTCAAAGAAGACACAGTCCGATGGGGGAGGCCAGATAGCAAACCGGAGAAATGCAGGGCATCATTCGGATGCCGGGCTCCAGAAGGGATGGAGGGGATGCGCAGGGAGGACCTGGGTACAGATGGCAGGGAGTAATAAAAAGAAGTCGCACACTCAGATTTCTAAAATGAAGCTTCACGCTGGGGCCTCATCTCTTTCCTTTTTGACACTAAGCCGAGAGAATTGGCTTACCAGAGTAGCAGGGAGAACTCAGCGAGGCAGAAGACACCCAGGGACTGGTTTCTGAGAAGGAAGGCAAGCTGGAGACAGCAGAGCTCTCTCCCCAGAAGGAGGGAAGCAGTTCTGCTGGACTCTTGAGTTTAAACCTGTCTTGTGGACCCGCAGTCTTTTCAGGGAGCCTGTTTGTCAGGGCAAGCCAGAGAGGACCGCCTGAGAATGCTGAGTTGACAAAGAAAGATGCCCATGATCCAGAAATGAGTTCTGCCTGGAACACTGCTCCGTGAGCCTTTGTTCCAGGAACTGGGGTTTGCAGAGATAATTCTGGGGACAATTGCAGGCAATTCTGCAACTGCCTGGCTTCGCTAGAGTTCTCATAAGTAAAGCGTCTCCTGGTTTAATCACAGGTTTCCTGTGAACCTCATGGTTTGGTTCTGTAGCCCTCATTTTCCCTCAAAGGCTCCTGAAGAAGGCTGGGTCTGCTCTCTGAGCAGCCCCAGGGCTCAGATTGGGGCTGGGAGTGAGAAGGAGCGGGGTCTTCTGCCACCTGCTGGCACCTCCTGTCACCACCCAGGACCGGTGCTGTGAGCTTCCCGGGCAGCGGAGGCCACCAGGGGGTGTGGGGCAGAGGACAGCCGGTTTATAAACACACATGGGGATGAGAGAGCGAACGGAAGCCAGCAGAAGAGCGCTCGTCCCCTCAGGGGTCAGGGCAGCAACTTTGTCTGTTCAGCTGTCTAAGCTGGAGATGTTTCTATGCAGGTCTGTTTTGCTCAGGGAAAACACAGTACGCTCTAAAAAAATTCTTTTTGAAAAATTTTTGGATCATTGCCTCCACATGATTCATTAGAGAAACTGAAGCCACACCTCCACAGACTCATGTGATGGAGGCAGGAGAAATCTGTGCCCCGGCTTTGGAGGGGGAGGGCAGGAGAAAAATGTGCACGCCACCTGATGGTTTCCTGGGTCAGTTCAGACAACCGTTGGAAGACCCACCACTCACAGGGCTCAGGTGCAGATGAACAAATAATATTTATTTCCTGAGTGTAACAGTCTCCTGGGAAGAAGCCAGACAAATGGAGAACCGGACAGAAAAGTGCAGGTGCTGTGCTAAAGTAGTCAGCCCTCTGTGTCCCTGGGGGCTGCAGATTGGTGAGCCACAGAGAAACTCTGTGAGGAGACACTCTGTGTGGTGCTTGTACAGATGCTATCCTAGCAGCGTTCTCCACAAAGTGCCATGTACCAGTGATCTCCCTAGTGCTCATGTGGCATGAGGTGCTACTAGCGACCCGGAGATGAGCTGGCTGTCCGGGGGTGTGTCTGTTCTGTGCTATTTTAGGGAAGGGGCTCGAGCAGGCATGGGCTTGGATATCGCAGGGGCTCGTGGAGCTGGGCTCCTGCACATTCTTCCGGGCCGGATCTGTGGAAAGGAAATGCAATGCTGCATGTGTGTACAAGCACCTAAAGCCACATGGGGCTCCAGTGTCCCTGGAGAAGGTGATCCAAGCTGAGTGGAGAAGCCAGGGTCTTGGAGACAGCATGAGAAGGGCACTGCAGTCCCAGGGACCCTCATGACTCACCTCCGCCGTTACCTGCTGCCGCTCCCTCAGGAGCTGAGACCTCAGGACACGGAGCAGAGCAAGTGGTAAAATGGTCTAGATCACAAGCCACGGACTCACCACGGAAGGTCAACCAAGGCAGGCGGGTCCAGGGAGCAGAGTCCTGCACACCCCAAAGCAGGACCGGGAAGAGGGGTTGTTGGCCCCAGAAGAAAGGCCATGGCCAGCACTGTTTCTGCTCACATGCTGGATATGAGCAACCTGCTCCAGGCAGGCAGAAATGGTGCGATCGGGAAATACGGTGAATATTTCAGAAAAATTTAAAAAACGAATTAGTGAAAAAAACATTGCCATTGACCACCCCAACTCTTCCTCCTTGATTCAGGCACGCTGATCCCTCTGCTCTTGCCCTTGCTGAAGCAGTTCTGAAAGTTGGTCTCTGTGAGTGCCTTCATGTGGTGTGATCAAAAATATGGTGAATCCAGCTGCCAAGCACCGTTCCATGGAAAGGCAGCTTGTAAGAACCATGTGTCCTCACCCACCTTATTCACCAGATATGGCACTATGGGACTTCTGGCTCTTCCCCTAACTCGAAGTGACCATGAAAAGGAAGCATTTTGAATTGATTCAGGACATCAAGGCAGCCAGGGCAGAGCAACTAAAGACGCTCAAGGGGCAGGACTGAGGAACGGCCTCAGAAAGTGGCAAAAGTGAGCGGTAAGTATATTGACGTGAAGGGAGTGTTTTTAGGGCATTAATTAAAACGTGTCTTTTAGTGTCATAATTTTCTTTTAAAATTGAACATTCACCTTTGTTCTCTGTCTCACTGCGTACATCCTCATCAAATGTTCTGAAGCACGTGAGGCCACATGCTTCCTCTACCTGAAATTTCCTTGAATGAAATCAAAGGTACCAACTGTAGCCTGTTCAGAATCATGCACAGGATGACCAGTGGAAAGAAAATGTCAAGAGAGTTGTGGTACAACTACTGGATGAGCTATTAAGGAGCCCAATAAAAATGATAATTCTAGAAGCTTCCATATATGGTCAAACCTTGCGGGAAAAAAAAATCAGAATCCAAACCCACAGCGGGAAGAAAATTCAGATGAAAAAATTCTAAACTGGTAGTAAGGACGCTATGCTTTTCTCTCTCGTCCAGGTTGTATACCGCGTTTTGTATCACTTCCACGGTGGCTTTTCAATCTCAAGAAGCCTAAAGGTGAAATGTGTGTCCTGACCAAGGCAGGGGCAAGAACCACCCTAAGTAAATGGCCTAACTTGCGTGTTTGCTCCTGCCGTGGCAGACTCGCCTTCCCCGCCAGTTGTGTTTCGGCTTGTGTGGGGCGTTCACCTCGCTTGTCAGAGCTGTCTCCCGTCCCCCCTGCCCGCACTCTCTCTGCCCCCGGATCTGTGGGATGCATTGTGATGTCTGCCCGCTGATTCTGCTGTGACTGGGGCTGGTGTCTGGTTGGTGATTCATGCTTGTTCCAGAGTTGTGCATCTGGGTTGGTTGCTTTGAAACAGTGCCCCAGGGAATATGAAAGGCCATTTGTCTCACGCAGACTGCTTCTAAATTCCAGCAAACCTCCTGTGAGAGTAGGCAGGGGAAGGGAGCCAGAAAACCCATCCAAAGAGGGATGGCATGGGGGGAGTCTGGGTGTCGGAGTCGGAGCCTAGCCCCTGCCTACGCAGCAGGGGAGAGCTTCTGGATGCCAACGAGTACGAGGGACAGGTTGCCCCGGGACACTCACGGCCGGGAAAATGCTCTGTGGACGTACCCTCTGCCCAGCACAAATGGCTCTAGTGGGGAAGAGGGCAGAGCTCGCCCTGGTGGAAGCCAGCCTGGAGAAGGTTTTGAGAGCAAGGTGGGCTCACCCACTGGGCATCTCTTCTGAGCCTTGGCATAGGTACACGCAGGAGTGGTACAGCTTGTCGTGACTGGTTCTCACATGAGCACTGACCGGTGAAGTGGAGCCAGGCCACGGGCTGGGGCGGGAGGTCCCTGGTTGTTCCCCAGGCCAGCCCCTTGGCTGCTGGATTGTCACAACATGCAGCCCATCCTGGAGGGCCCTGGGGCGGCGGGGGATGCCAGCTGCCAGTAGTTAGTTGTTTCGGTATCCAGCAGGCCGAGCAGACGCAGACCAGAGGAGCGCACACGTGAACTCCAAAGCTTGTGCCGCCATTACTTCCGTGCGATCCCACCCTCCCCTCCTGCCCTCAGGAGGAGCTGAGCGCCAGCCTCAGGACTCACAGACTCTGCGCCTCCACAAGGGGCTCTTTAGTTTGCTCAGCCACTCGTGCCGATCGAGGGAGGTCTGCCAGTTGGTGTCACTGCCCCTCACTTGCTGCGGCCTGGGTGGCTCACAGCGTGGTCACCTCCCAGCCCGCCGGCTGCAGGGCTGGGCCGGGTGAGCAGTTGCCCGCCTGCTGCCCACCCACCCACCTGCCTGCTGGGAAACCCACCCATGCATCTTGAAACCTTACGTACATACTGGACTGCTGTGACTCACCCTTAGCCTTCATCCTTTTACTTAGCAGAGTTTCACGGGCCACTTTCTATCAGGCTCCTGGAGTTGTTTGCAGGTTGTCTGGGGCTGTCATTATTATTTTCTGTTGGTTTGGTTTGGTTTGGGATAGGCTTGGGTTTTTTGAGACAAGGTCTTGCTCTGTAGATCAGACAGGCCTGGAGCTCATTTGGTAGCCCAGACTGGCTCACTGATCCTCCTGCCTCAGCCTCCCACATCCTGGCCGAGAACATGTTTTTTTGTAAATCAGAGACTGAAAGGAAATCACAGTCCACCGTCCCATGGCCCATTTTGGAACTCTGGGATTAGGGCAGTCCAAAACTGTGAAGAGACGAGTTGGAAGCCTGGCTCTCCCATTGCCCCGTCTGTAGATTACAGTTGACCTGCCTCCTCCAGCGTCTGTGGTCTCATTTTGCATGGTTTCTGTGACTGCAGTCAGCCAGGGTTCAAAAACATTAAGTGGAAAATTCCAGAAATAGTTCATAAGTTTTAAATAATTTGAGTATAGTGTTAAAATTATGCTATCTTATTATTTGCCATTAATCTCTTAGTAGGCCTACTTTATAAATTAGACGTCATCATAGATATGTATGCCTACGGAAGCAGGTATAAGATTTGTCGCTCTCTGTGTGTGAGTGAGGGTCTGAGAGCATTTCTGCCGGGGGAAGTGGGCAGAGGAACTACTGCTCCAGCACTTTAAGCGAGGTGTCTGTGTGTTCCTAAATTTTATGTACCTCAAATGCACAGTAGAATCATATTACACGGTCACCTGCTTTTTAGCATTCAGTGAAATAATATATTAGGAAGCACTTTGTAAAATGAAGAAATATAAGCGAAAATCCACCCAAAGAGAGCAGCATTGTCAAAATTAGTGAAAGAAAGGAACAGAGAACATTTTTAAAATGTATGGCAGCTGGATGGTTCTGAAGGAAGCCAGCTCTTGGGGTCCAACTTGGAAAAGGAGCACCTGAGCCCCGCACCCCTCTCTTCAGAGTGCTGGCCGTGGAGCAGCGTGTGATATAGAGAAATACTAGGGACAAGGCTGCTGCCCACTGGAGGCCAATGCAGGTCCCATATGCAAGAAAAATGGATTTGGACCAATAAAGGAGAACGTAGGAAGGACACAGTGCAAAGGAGATACCAGGATAGGGAGAGAAGACAAGAGGCAGAATCTCTACTACTCTTGTCTATTCATTCATTGACCAGATAACTGTGGGCTTATAAAGAAGATAAAACTCAGGTGTTGGAAGAGGGTGCACCATGAGACTGTAACGTTAAGTGGAATACGTCAGACACACAAGCTTAAATACCTCGTGGTTTCTCTTACACGAGAAGCCTTAATTCTAAATAAATTAAGGCACAACATAAAAGACAGATAACAGGAAAGGGGGAGAGAGGTCTTTTGCAAAAAGGAAGAAGAAGACCAAGAGATGAAGGGAAGGGTAGGAAGAGGAGGAGCGGCATGAGGAAAAAAACACCACATGGTTCTGGGCTTGAGAGCCCCTCTTCAGGGTGAGGGAGACCCCAGCAACCTCACTGCACACCTCCCCTGGGGCCTGCTAGGGCTCCCTCCCCCAGAGAGCCGTCCTCAGCCTTCAGGCGAGAGCTGGCTGTATCAGATTAATTAAGTCCGTTTCTGCAAGTTAGACTTGCACATGAATATTAAATCTCAGGCCAGGCCTCCCATTAACCAAATAATGGGTGTTTTCAGGGTAACAGTCTGTTCCCGAAATGCTTAGAAATATGCACACAGAGTGTTCAACGGGACTGTGATGTTTATTGGTGGCCAGAAGACACCTCGTTGTTGTGGCAGCTCTGTGTCTGACACCCAGAGCTGGGGAGCCGTGTCCACTGGCGGTGCTCGTTATCACCACAACTTCATTTCACTCTTGGCTTCCTTTCTGAACTCGTCCAAGATGCTCGTGCTGCTGAGGGGTCATGGGCTCTGCTTCGGGCTCACACTCTGGGTCACTGTTTACTAATAGTGGGTTTGGACAAATCCCTCTGTGGGACTCAGTTTCCTGTATGGGAATAGCGAGGGCAGCTCAGAACTGTTTTGAGGGTTACAAGTGTCCACGGAGTGTCCAGCTTTGTGGACCTGCCACACGTGAGCGCGGGATGTATGTTCTCTGTCCTCCTCTGTGACTTGCGTTGTGACCGGAGTTTCCTGCTTTCTCTTCAAGCTTTGACGTGGAAAATGGCCCTTCCCCAGGTCGGAGCCCGCTGGACCCTCAGGCCGGCTCGTCCTCAGGGCTGGTACTGCACGCCACCTTTCCCGGGCACAGCCAGCGCAGAGAGTCCTTTCTCTACAGATCGGACAGCGACTATGACTTGTCACCCAAGGCGATGTCGCGGAACTCCTCTCTTCCAAGCGAGCAGTGAGTACGGCGCTTGTCGCCCTTTCCGTTCCCACACTGGCCTCACCTTCCGGTGCGTCTCCCGGCTGCAGCGAAAGCCGCTCCTCACTAATCCTTTCACAGAGGGCCGAGGCGGGAGGAAAACTCAGCGGTCGCATTGCTGACCCGCTCAAGGTCACCCCCGCTCGGCAGGGTGCGGATCTGTAGCCGGCCTCTCCAGGGCTGTTGGAAACCTCAGACACGGTGTTCGGCTCACATCTGTTATTGATACTTTTAAAAGTTTGCACAGAGCTTCATTTCCTGAACTGCTGAATCGTTTATGGGATGAGAACCTTAACACATTTTGCAAATCACACTTTAATTTTCAGCTGCTTGTGCAATTCCCATAAGGCTCCAGGAGAGAAGAAAAATGATGGTTGGTCAGCTGCCTTGTCTCTCACCAGCCTATGCTTGGTGGCATTAACTAAACTGCCATCCAGCCACATGCCAGGGTCCCTGTCTGGAACACTCCCCCAATACACGCTTGCCTCCTGGCTTCTTAACGAGGCACAGCACACCGCCTCACCTTGCAAAGCACAGCTGATTTTTTTGTTTGTTTGTTTTCTTTTGCTGCTATTAATTGCAGATCTCTGATTTTTACTTCAAGAACAATGGCAGGGCTGTATTGCTCATTTATGAGATTTCTGAAATCAGAGAAAGTTGGATGCTGAAATCCATGCCTTAAAAGGTTTCTGGGCACACATACAATTGTTTTTAACATCATATGTTATAAAAATATCAGTAGTTCCCTAAAGTCGCCAGCCTGGAAAATTCCACTGGGTTCCCTTTTTCTATGTGAAAGGCAGCCAAAAGCCTTCACCTTCTTGTAACGCAGAAAAGGGACATTTTCACCTGCAGCAGCAAGGAAGGGCTCCCCACAGCACTTCTGCTGACAAATTTTAATGAAGCACCTCAGCCCCAAAACACTTCAGTCATGGTGTGCCCCAAATCTCACTTCTGTCTTTCCATTCATCTGGCAAATATTTACGGAAACCCTCCTATGTGTGATGTGGTGTGCCACCCTGTGAATGAAAGATGAACAAAACAGGAAAAATCACAGAGGAGTGAAAAACAAATGCCATTCGCCAGACTTTTGCATGTGGTTGGGAGGTAACAGCCAAGCAGGAATGATGAAAGGGACGCACAGCCACACACATACATGCAGAGTGGAAGTCAACCAGCATCTCATGGTTATTTACCCCGCCAGCAGCTTCTCCACATGTTGTCCGTGTTACCAGCATAGCAGCCCTGTCTGCAGCCGGTGAAACTGGGTCTCTGAGAGATTGAGCGTGGCTGTATTTTACGCTGTATCTTGTGATGTAGCTAAGGATGCTTGTTAGGTCCATTGTCTGTTGCTATAAGAAAACACCTGAGCCTACATAGTGTATAAAGAAAAGTGGTTGGTTTGACCCGTCACCCTAGTGGCTGGAGGGTCTAAACAGCATGCATTGGCCCCTGACTATATTTCAGTATGGCAGAGAAATGGAAAGGAAACCAGCCACAGGCAGGAGGAGCCAAGTGAGTGTGCTAGCCTTGATGTCGTGATAACAAGTCACTCTGCAGGAGCTACACTCGCACCTTCCTGCAGTGACACCCCAGTGACCTAATTAGCTCATACTGTGCCCACCTCTGACGAGGCCCTCTACCTCCCAGTGTCACCATGCCGGCCACCAGGTTCCTGGCACGTGACCCTTTGTGAGACACGCTCAAACCGTATCCAAACTCTAACCATATGCGAGACGCCAGGACGCGTGTCTGTGTTCTTTCCCCGGGAAGCGGCAGCTCTCCTGGCAGGGAGGTCACAGGCCCACGCAGAGCAGAGGGGCCCAAGGCTGAGAAGAGGGGGCCGCTCTGCTGTGACTCGCGAAGGAGTGCCATTCCCCCTGAGGTCCTCCCGGTGGCTCTGGACAGTGAGTATGCTGGGACTTGTCTCCTGCACCAAGATCAAAGGCTTTTTGTCCCCGTCGTGACAGAACGTGGGCAAAATGGTGAGCGCAGGAACGAGAGCCTTCTGCACAGGGCATTTTAGAGAGAAGGGGCCAGCTTCGGAAGATGGGCATTCTGCAGTCCATCCTCCAGCTAATCGTTCCTCAAACCCATGCTAAACAACACGGTGGGTCTCTAGGCTGGTCAGTCTCAGCAGAAGGCACTTGCTGAATGTGTTTCTCTACTTGGAATCAAAAGGTTATAGAAAATTCACACTTGAAGAGACCTTAAAGATCACAGTGCAGCACAATCTGTAGCTGGCAGAACAGAGATGCTGCCCAGTGTGGTGGCACATGCCTGTAATCCCAGCACTCGGGAGGCTGAGGCAGGAGGCTTGCTGTGAATTCAAGGCCAACCTGAACTATGGAGTGAGACCCTGTATAAAACAAAACAAAACAAAACAAAACAAATCAAAACAGAGATGCCACACTGTCTGCCCCCGCACCCAGTGTCCCTTCATTAACTGTTCACCCTTTGTGCAGTTTTAGTGATCAGTAAAATTCCCTCCCTAACTTCAGAGCCTACGTAGTATTGCTGGCTTTAAATTTACCCAAGTAAAGGTTTTATGTGGAAATCATTTAGTATCCTCCTCACTTTTTAAAAATAAGGACTTTAAAGAACAAATCTAGGAAGGGCACAGTTTCATAACAGGGAGCAGCCGTTCTCAGGAAAACCCACTTGGCAGCATGATACCATTGGCTCCAGCGTATGGAGCACAGGATACGGTCAAACGCTTGGGAGTAAACCAGCGCACGATTTTGTTTTGAAACTATTTCAGCATTATAACAACAACAACAAAAAAATTCTCCATGTTTGTCAGTTTAGCATTAGGAACTTGCATTTCTCAATATGATGAAAAAAAGTGGAACTTGAATTGTATCCAGATTCTGCTAGGATTTCATCAGTTACACACAGACCTCTGGATCCAAACTGAAGCAACACTCCTAAGGCTCTTCCTCCCAATTATTATCCTTCAGGATGGACGGAAATAAATAGAGGAATGGCGGCTCCCGGGCTCCCGCCGCTTGCCGTCTGCAGCCAGCACACCCGGGGAGAAGACGGCAAAGATAAACCAGGAGCCCAGCGGTGAAGGCCCTGGGCGGGGTGCTGGAGGCCCCTCCGCGGCTCCCCCAATCCTGCGTCTGAATAGGGCGGGAAGCTGCAGGAGTCCGCTGCACGGAGCCTTCTTCCTAGCAGAAGCCCCGGCTTTCAGACCTTCCCCTTGTGAAGTCTTTCAGAAGAGTGAGAGGGTGGGATGTGTGGGAAGAATGACTATAAGGACTGTACGAATAAAATCTGTGAGCGGCAGATTAGAGACGGCCGTGAGTTCCAGCAAGGAGCGAGAGATATAAACAAGCCTTTCTGGTGAAGGGAAACAAGACTTCCTCGGGTCCCAACAGGAAACGGCAGATAGTTTCCTAGATGTGGCAATCATCTGTTGGTTTCTGCTCACTTCTTGGGTCATCGTCATCTCTAATGTAATGACTTCCTGAACCGAGGCACCGATTTCCCAACGGGAACAGGACGTACTAGAAAACCAGGGAGGCCCGCTTCACTGCCCAGAACGCGGGCAGGATCTGCTCTGGAAGCAGATCCTTCAGGAAAGCCTTTTGATTATCCACCTGCAAAGCACCAGAGAAGGCGGCGCCTTGCTGTTCTGACTGGGGCACCCTATCTGCAAAGCCTACACCGCGAGGAGCTCCTCAAGCTGCCGCTTCCCGGAGGACTGCCTGGTGTCGTCTGGAAAGCCTTATCAAAGAAAATGGAGCCTGGAACCCAGAGACTGAGCACAAAGAACAGTCACTCGGATTTCAGACTTGTTTGCTGACGAGCTACCCAAAAAGTACAGTGAGGGTTCTATTACTCCAGTTGTCAGCTGGGTATTAACCAGCAGAGCTCTTATGTAGTCCTAAATTATCTGTACGATAAGACACGTTTATGGATCGTGTCCTGTGTTTGATGTACTATGTAAAGCCCATTCTAAGTCCTTATATCTCCGTGTCCCCGGTGTGGCGGTCCTGTAACGTCCTCATTGTAAAGACAGGACATTGGAGATGCCGAACAGGAGATAAAAGCCTGAACCCAGGGCTCCGAGTGGCGAAAGCCGCGTGTGAGTCCAGCACCTCAGCTCCAAGTGAGGCTGAACTCACAGCAACGGTCCTGATCTCTGCTCTGCCTGCCGTCCCGCCTGCTACGAGGATCTTCCTCACTCTTTTCGTAAACATTGACTTAAACTGAGGTACTTTGCTAACAAATAGGGCAGTTTCTGTGCCTGCGAGGGAGCTGGGAGATCAGTAAGGGTGGTGTGATTCCCTTCAGAGATGGCGGGGGGCAGAGGCTTACCCAGCGAGCGGGATCGGGCAGGCCGGAGGGTGCTCCGGAGGAGAGGTTGGGCACGCCTGGCTCTAGGGTGGGAGCGATGTGGGGGTCCCCGGCTCGGTGTGGCTGAGGCAGAGGACGTGAGCAGCGGGGAACTGCCGAAAGATGAGGCTGGAGAAGGGAGAGAGGCCTTGCTATGAAGACTTAGGAGTTGCCCTCCATGCTGCCGGCCAGCAGCGGGGAGTACTAGGGCTTTCTAAAGTAGGAAAGCGTAATACATTTTCACGACAGCGCTGGTTGCACTGATTTGTACAGGGGACCCAGACCCGAGGCTGCATCGCTGATCCACGTCACAGAGCGCAGCGATCGCATCAGAGCAGGTCCAGCGGGCGCCTAATAAATACTTGCAAGTTAGGCTGAACGGGGGCCGGCGGCTGACTGCGGGGAAGGAAGGGGATGTTTCAGGTTTGGCCAAAGAGATGGACGGCTGTGCCATTCCCTGGGATTCGGGACTCTCTTTTATCACAAGAAGTAGTGTCTACGAAAGCGCTTGGTAAACTACCACACGCTGTATAAACGGGGACGCCCACCACTGCCCCAGGGGCAGGCTGAGTGTCTTGAAGAAAACCTCATCAGTTAGGGAGGTGGACGCTCAGCTCTATGAATGAGAGTAAAGATGTGTGCTAAGGACGGGAATCACGCTGATGAAATAAAGAAAATGGTTTTCTGCCCCAACCACGGCTCCTGGGAATGGTACACGCATCGAACGCACTGCATTCTCCCGGGACCGCAGTTTACAGATGAGTTTAAGACACCAAGAGGTCGCCTGATGGCTCATAGCAGGTACTAATGCCGCTGAGAGCCCAGTGGCTGTCTCACTCCAAAGTCTGGGCTCTTAACTCACCTCTCTGTAAGGCAGACTGTCGTCAATCTCAAGAGAAATACAAACACAATTATGCGTGCAGGGAAGAAACAGAGGCTAAAATAATTCATAACGGTGAGAGTCGAGGAGCGAGAAGCAGCTTCCTGCTCTCTGGAAAGCCATGGCGTGCCTGAGAACAGACCTGCACTGCGCTGAGACCCAATTCGGAGACCCAGTTGTCACAGACTGGAGTTCCCGCTTGATGAAAGTGCAATGTGCCAGTTTGGGCACTAGATGGTGCACGTGCCATGCTTCCGAGCATCTAAATACTCCTGAGGAATTTGCCTTCTCTGGTGGCTTGGGTAGTTAAGTAACTGAGAACAGATACTACACTTGATCTTAGCCAAAAGGCCGAGAAGCGATGGTGGCTCCCTCCTGTAATTCCGGCACTCGGAAGGCTGAGGCAGGAGGATCTTTCCAAGTTCAAGCCCAGCCTGGGTTACAAAGTGAGCTCAAGACCAGCTAGAACTGCGGAGCAAGACTCTGTCTCAAAAAAGACAAAAAAGAAAGAAAGAAATAAAAGGTAGCTACCCAAGTTTTCATAATCAAGGCTTTTGCTATTCTGATGCCAGTGCACTTTTTGTTAGCAATATATTAAGTCACTGCTTTTAAAAATTCAGAATATTTCCATAATCTATAGTTGTTTTCCTATACTTACCACAAATTATCTGATAATCCATCTACCAGTCATTGCACCACGTACATTAGCTTCTGCAACTCAATGCAATTATTAAGCCAATGTTATGGACTGCAAATCCGTCTCCTGCTTTTAAACCTTCCTTCTAAGTTTCAAAGTTCCATAATGATGCATTCACGTTGACACCGTGCCCTGTTCATATTTGCTCTCCTCGTTGTACACATTAGTGCGTGCAGCGTCAGTAACTCCACAACTTGTTCATCCGTGCCCCAGCACTAGGCACTATCGATGTAGAAGCTCTTGCTCATTTCATTTGCCTTTAGTCAGATATTAAGACTTCCGACGTCGGGACTCAGAGGAGATCTGCTTGAAGAAGATTCCTTACCTCATCCCTCAGCTCATCCTGATGTCTGCCGAACAATGTGAATTTCCCACGGGAAACATGCACAAACAGCAAGGTTTTCGTTCATCTCAAAGTCTGCCCGAAGAAAACAGCCCTGGAGGGGCAGTGCTGGGTGCAGTTCACCGTACGCTGATCACCACGAGTCCTCCGCTAACGCTTCACGGTCTCCTGCAGGCTCCATTCCAGGAGCCCCAAGGTTCCCGGCCTCCTGTTCTCTGCGCGTCCCCCGCAAGCTTGGTCAGCGCCTTCCCCTCTCAGTGCCTGCGTTCCTACAATTTGCCCATCCCCAGCGTCTACGCCCGGCTCTTAAGACCTGCTCCTCCAGGTTCACCTCCAGCACCGCTCAGCCATTGATCTTTTCCACCTCTTTCAGCCGATAACTGACCTCTCCTTTGGACCCAACGAGGCATCTGTTGCTCCTCTTTCTCAATCTGGATTAAAGCCTGTTTCTGTTTTAAACATATTTTTTGTCTCGCCTGCTTGGTTTTGATTTCGAGGATCCTAGATTCTGTATAATGTGATTTGCCACCTTTGTGCCGCCTTCATAGAGTAAGAAGCACATGTTTAAAAGTGCAGATTTGGGGAGTAAAGCAGCCTTGGTTCCCCCACTTATTAGCTGTGTGCTAGGTAAGAGCTGCTAAATGCTCCGAGGCTCCTCGTTAACTATGACAGGGGAACAGGAAGAGTACCTGCCCCACAACCTTGCTGCAAAACTTAAATGAGATAATGCACGTAGGAGGGCTCCCAGGCAGTGATCACACCAAGAATGCCTCATCTTTGTCACTGTGCCTTTGGCCTCACTCTGGAAAGTTAGCCCACAAGAACCTTGCTAGATTGACTTGAAGAAGACGTCTGGGTAAAGACAAAGACAGGAAAGCACCGCGTTTACCTGTGCTAGAGGATGCAATGCTAAGAGCCTGTGTTGGTGAAGAAGCTAAGGAGGACGTGTGTGAGTGCGTGCATGTGTGTGTGTGTGTGTGTGTGTGTGTGTGTATGCGTGTGTGTGGTCCAGCTTGGGCTCTGCCAGGCTCCCAGAGCAGCTGGCACAGGGCAGCTGCTTCATAATTGTGGGTTGCACTCCCACGCACGGCCAAGCCAGATCTGTGTGGCGATGGTGCGGGCAGAGGAGGGAGGTCAGCGTCCCCAGCTCCTGCTCCACTGCTACGACTCGCGCCAGGGCAGCAGAATAGCCTGATCTCGGGGCTCAGGCAACCTATCTCCTCAGACCTTCCCCAGAGAGCTTGCTGAGTGAGGGCTTCGGCAGACTCAGGAAGTAAGTGCTGGAGAAAACGCATCTCCGAAGAAGCGTTTTGTTTTTGTTTTTTTTTGTTTTGCTTTGTTATTTTAAAGATGAAAGAATGAAAACGTATGAACAAACACAGGCATAAATAAAACAACATAAAAACAATAAAAGCGATACAGGATTTCAGACAAGGTGATGGGAAATTAACAATGCTGGTTGTATTACATATTGTTATCTTCAAACTGGTTACTCAGATAAACAAATACAGGCCTCTAAGATTGATCAAACAATTAAACATTAACTGTTCCTTTCAATAAAGCAACAGAACTTAGTAGTGCAATTATCTTAGCTATCTTTGTATGCATACATGCATATGACCAGTCCTGAGTATGGACGTGCGGGACGTGAGGTACAGCTTGATCGGGTCTCGGGGCCCAGGCAGGTGACCGTGTCAGGCTTTAGTAGCGACAGTCTGCACACTCACGCCATGAGCCTCTCTAGGGTACTTTAAGAAAAAAAAATTATGTTAACAACATAAAAAGTAATGGAATTCCCAGACAGAAATCTGTGTTTAAATGGCGTTAAGGCTGCGGTTTAAATCAACAGAAGCCAGGAAATCCAAAGTTACCCTTTCTCCAGACTGTTATACCATTTTTTCCAACACCGTGTGTGCCTGGAGCAGCCCTCCCTCTGAATTCCTGGCTCCTGCTGCCGAAATCCGCAGGTCGCCCTGGGTCTGCCTTTAATGGGACCGCGGTTACTTGCAAAGGCTTTCTGTGAAATCACTATAAATCTGGGCGTCGTAGACCTGGCGCTACTATTTTTTTCTTTCGAGCTCTTGGGATCCCCATTTGTACTGAACTGTGAGTCCCCCTGCAGGCAGGAAGCCGACCTCAATGGAGTTTGGGTTGCTACCATCGATCTAGTCTGCCCCAACCGCTTAGACGCTGTAGCTACAAACAGACCGCATTTTAAAATCTGTCTTTTCTCTCTTTTCACTAGACACGGTGATGACTTGATTGTCACTCCTTTCGCCCAGGTACGTGTCCTGTTCGCCCCATTTCACTCTTCCTCTATCCCTGGGTGTGGTTTCTAAATGTGGCCTCTGAACCTGGTTTTGGGTCCCTTTTGCCCTTAACTGTTTGAAATATTTTCCTCACAGGTTCTGGCCAGTCTGCGAAGTGTGAGAAACAACTTCACTCTGCTGACCAACCTCCACGGAGCGTCGAACAAGTAAGCACTGGCGTCTGCGGAGCTATGAACCACTTCCGGTAATGCAGGAAACACTGAATAGCACTGAGGAGAGCACACACGACTCCTGCATGGAGCTTTGCCCTCCAAGCTAAGCTACATAAGCTACATAGTGAAATTTCAAAGTGAGCTAGAGCACCATAGAAATCGAGAGCAGGTTGGAAGTTGCTAGAAATGATCTGGTTTGAGGTTTATTAATTTTTGGACCTTGAACACTTAGCACACTGTAGAAATCCAATAAACAAAATGAGAGGAGGCATTCTTTATATCTCATATATTTGCCACTTTGGCGGTAATGACCACAAATGCTATTAAAAGTGTTTTTCTATAGGAAGTTAATGAAGTCAGAGCCCCTCTTAGGATTAAAAGTACTCAAAAGTTCAAGTCCAAGTTACTGTGGTTTTCCCTTTTTGGATACTATATAAACAGGTTCATGAAGTTGATGAAAACTAGGAGAATTATATTCTTTTCTTCTCTAATACATAATGACTGGTCATTTCAATTAACATTGCTAATTCTTGGTCTCCTCATCTATGAAGTGAAGGAGTAGAACTTGCTCCCCGAAGTAACTTTCTCCTCCAAAAGCATCTCAGCCTATGAGCCTATGAAGTTCACTTTTCTGCATGTTTGAAAAGATTATCACTGTCTCTGAGGGTCATAGAACCCATGATCCTGGAATGGTCAGGCTGGAGGAGGCTTTTAAAACCATTCATTTAGCCAAATGTGGTGGCACAGGCCTGTGATCCCAGCACTCATGAGGCTGAGGCAGGAGGATCCCAAATTCAAGCCCAACCTGAACAACTTGGCAACTCAGCCAAAATGGGTCTCTAAATTAAAAAATTTTTAAATGGCAGATGACATAGCTCAGTGTGAAGACTCTGGGTTCATCCTTCAGTACCAAACACACACACAGGACTGTTCATTTAACCTCTTGCTTTCACTGGGAGGTAAACCCAAGCCTTCAGGAACCCAACAACTAGCAAGCAAATATAAGCTAAAGACCCTTTAGAGGAAAAACCTACATCTCCTGATTTTTCAGCCTGCATTCACTCTAGAGTACCCTATGTCTGCAGTCTTCGTGAAGTCAGCCTCCAACCCTGTTTTGCTTTCATCCAGAATTGTATGAACTGAGCTTGTTAAAAGTGAGTGAAGTCTGCTTTCAGTGATGACTTTCACTGCCCTCTAACTTGTTTTGAAGCCTCCTTGTGAGCTAATTTCCCCAGAATGGGGACATTCCCGCTGTTGCTCCCTCCTCCCCTAAATTCTTCTCTCAACTTCCCTCAGAGCGCACTTGCCCACAAGCTGTGTGACCAGTGTCACCCTCCAGCTGGAGGCACTGCAGTGGTCCGCTGTTACCGCTGGCCATGAGGGAGATGCAGATTAAAGCAGCCCTGGGATTACATCTCACGCCAGAGAGAGTGGTTATCCACAAGAGCTCAACCAATAACAAATGCTGCAGGGGCTGTGAGGAAACGGGAACACTTCTGTGTTGTCAGTGGGAACGTAAATTACTGCAACCACTATGGAAATCAGCATGGAGATTCTTCCAAAAACTAAAAATAGAACTTCCATTCAACCCAGACATTCCCTGTCTAAGTATCTTCACCAAACTGTTAAGGACGTCATATTACAGGGATCCATGCACATCCGAGTTTACAGCGGCACAATTCACAATAGCTGAATCTTTGAAGCAGCCTGGGTGGCCATTAACAGGTGAATGGATTAAAAGCTGTGATATTTACACACCATGGAGCACTACTCTGCTGTAAAGAAGGAGAAACTTGAGTCATCTGTAGGAAAATGGATGCCCCTTGAGACCATAATGCTGAGTGAAATAAATCAGTCGCACAAGTTTAAATATTATATGGTTTCTCTTAGATGAGAAATCCAAAATATAAATAAAGAGTCAAATAAAAGATAGATAATAGGAAGTAGAGAAAAAGAGATTTTTCTTAAGGGGAAAGGGATCAGGAGATGGGGGAGGGGAAAGGGATGACCAAAGGGACAAAGACAAGTTATGTCACACACCAGCTCCACACAAGGAGCATAATTGTTATAACTGCAAGCACGAACTAATGACAAACAAAGTTCAGTGTGAGGGGTCGGCCTCCCAGGCACCTGGTGACCCAGCTCAAGTTAATGCGAGTGACAGCGGGCTGGATTTATTTCAGTGCAATGTGCAGGGTGAGCGCTCCTGATCTGAAAATCCAAAACCGGGAACGTTTTGATCCCCAACACGATGCTAAGAGACGAAAAGCTCCACACTTGGCCCCGTGCGACAGGCTGCAGTCCCAATGCAGGTGCACTGTTGCGACTGTATGACCCACCTGCGGGCTGTGTGTTCATGGCGTGTGTGAACTACAAGATGAATTTTGTGCTTGGACTCGAGAGTCTCACCCCTAAGACACCGCACTAGGTCTGTGCACATATTCCAAACCTGCAAAAAAATCCAAAACCTGAAACACTTCAGATCCCAGGCATCTTGGGTAAGGGATACTTCGTCAGGGTGTGAAATGCAGAGGTTGTCCACCGGCCCCTTCACAGGCACTCCTGTTTATTCCTTCATTAACGCGTACAACATGTGTTTATGTAGTGCGTGCTACTCACTCATGCACCTGTGTGTGTGTGTTAAGAAATGTTTCCCGAGCATCTACTCTGCTAAGCACTGATGCAGCAACAGTGATCAAAACAGACACGCACCCAGCTCGTGCAGGATTTCTGTCCACTCTCATAGAAATGGCCAGGGACGGAGTGCGGAGCAAAGTGACCAGCTCTCAGCCTTGTGGGATTAGGTTCAATGTTGCGGGGGCCCGGCGGTTTCCTGCAGAGCCCCTTCTCCAAGCATGGACTTGCTGTTCTCTTCCGGAAATGGCTCCTTTCAGCTCCCAGGGCGCTTAGCTGCTGCCCATCTTTTCTAATATGATGATATGACATCATCGGATGCTTTCTCTGGCCCTCCCAGGCCTGGCTGAGTGTCCTTCATGTGGCTCAAGGACACTAATGACCCTGCCCCTCTCTCCCTATGGATCTCTGCTCCTTAAGGAGACTTATGTTTATCTGCCTTTGACTTTTCAGGAATTAATAGACTGTCGGACAGCTTTTGCTTCAGAACTAGTTGTCATACATATGAGTTTGTGAATAAATAATTGTTGGAGAAAAGATCAATTAGTGAAAAAAACATAAGAGAGACACCGTCCCTATCCCTGCTTCTTTTCTTTATAAATATGGACCAGGGTGCACACTGAGGTGCATAACCTCATAACTCAGGTCTAACCTTTGAAAATTGTGTACTTGGGCAGACACATTACCTGTTCTATATCTGTTTCCTCTTCGGTAAAATGGGGTTGTTACAGTGATTAAATGAGTGGATATTTCTAAAGCACTTAAAATAACATCTACCACAATAAATGTGAGCTACTGTGACTGATAGGTACTTTCTCCTGTGGAATCCAGAAGTGGGGTAACACTGGGGTTTTCACATCCAGCGCTGCAGTTACAATCGTCATACTCCGTGCTCCTGGCATCTGTGGTCAGTGCTACTCTGTACATAAGGAAGCAAAGCCGAAATAGCTAGAGAACTTGCACGTGAGAACACAGCTTCTCGGGGAAAGGCCGTCCTGCCTCCCCCACAGGGCTGTCCGCACTCATTGCGCTTGTTCTGTCTTCTGGGTTATGTATGGGAGGAAGGCCCTGCAGGGCTTTGGAACAGTGCTTTTTAGGAAGAAGTTAGGAACAGGTGAAGGTCAGACAGCCTGAAGGTAGAGACGTGAGCTGAGCCAGTGTTTTTAGGAATGAACACAGGAAGGCAAAACCTGGGACCAAAATGATATAAGTGGAGCTGGGAGGGGAGGATGGGTAAGGAATTAGCATAAGCGGACTCAGAGCCGCCATATTGCATAGCCCCAAGGGCGAGGAGGCACAGGTGTGGGGTTCTCCTCCACAGTGGTATTGGGGCGTGCAGCCCCTCCCTGCTGGTTAATAAGCTGTGTCAGCTTTAACTCTTTCTTAAGAACCAGGTCAATATATGGCCTTACTGTTCTGGGACCACATTAACTTTTAGGAACCAAGTACCCGGGTTCACACTCACCATGCAGAGCACTGCCCCAGAGCGGTTCCCACACTCTGGCTGACAGCCACCCTCAAATCATGCTCTTTGTGTCACCTCTGTTCCTTTGTGTGAGCACAATTACTCACCAGAATAGGTCTCCAACAGCAAGACAGATGCATCTATTCATTTTTCTCGGATCCATCCCCGTATTTGAACAGAGTTGATCAGGTTAGTCATTTCCAGTACTTCTTTATAACTAAGGCCAAACAACAAAAATTGAAAGCAAGACCAATATCTACTGACACTTCTCCAAAGGGAGACGAGATGGCTCAGTGTAGCCCAGGCTGGGACCTGAGGGATGGGACTGGGCCACCAGTGGAGCAGGTTAGAGAACTCAAGGTGTGTTCAATGCATTCCATAATATTCCTAGAAACTCAAGGCCCTAAAACAACAGAGAAAAATGCCAGGGAAGGGGCTGCAGATAAGACATCTGCCAGGAGCAGACACAACACACACACACTCACTCTCACACACACACAGGAGTAATTTACACTGACAGCTGCAACTGTAAGGTTCATGGGATTCAGAACTGGCTTTCTGGGTTCCAGGGTACCACCCCTGTCCTGATGGCAACACTGAAGCAGTAATTATGTCCTTGGAGTGGCTTTCAGGAGACATCTGGTTCGTGTGGTTTGCTGTATGAAAAGGAACTCCCACGTCGAGCTATATTTCTCTGAAGTTAAAGCTTCTTTTATCTTTGGCTCTTTGCTCTGCACAAAAGCTATCCATTGTTTGCTGAGCTTTGCTGCCCAAAGGGTGAAAATCTCCAATATCCTGTTGAGGTGATTTCTTTGCACTCTCATAAGATGTCCTGTTGAGGGACGTTTGATCGGACCCGCATTTCTCGGCTGCAAATGAAAACCTACATTTCTTTTGTCTCAAGAGTTAAGTATGATAATGTGGCTTTCATTTAGAGCTGCTAATTTAGATAAGCATCCCTAAAGCATTTTCTGGCTCCCAACTTGTGCCAATGGAGGACTCACGGATGCAGTGAGGGTGGCCACTTTCGGTCCTCAGTAACCGGAAAATGGAGCTGGGAGCAAATACCCTCTTTTGTCACCCAGCTCTGTCACTACATCACAGATGCCACCTGTGGCTGTCTGGAAATCATGTCACATCTTTGTGTGTAAAAATGCTCTCCCAAAGCATTATTTTGTCAAAAGGGCTGCAATCTTTGGGAAAGAAGTAATAGCCACTTAAATTTTTTGGTGTATACCTGAAACTTTTCATTGCTTTCTGCACTCTGGCCTGGGATTTAAATTAGCTGAGAATCGTAAATTCTTGAGCATTCAGAACTGGAAAAAACCTAGCCAAATTTCCTCAGAGTAAGTGAAGAAAGAGATGGAAAAGCCCTCACTCGGGACCTAGCACATAGTAAATCAGTAATAAATGTTGGTGGCTGCCTGCGCTCCCCACCCGAAGAAGAAACTAAAAAGTTGGGTGAGTTGTGGAGGGTTACACAGTTAGAAATTGTGTGAGGCAGGAGCAGGATTCCTGCCTTCCTGTTCGTATTCCAGTACTCTCCCCTCGGAGTTACCGAAAAGTATTAACTGTGACGATTCCTATCACCCCATCCACCAGCCAGGCATGTAACTCACTCTGACTCTTCTGTTAGTTAGGGGCCACTGGAAATAAGACAGGCAAATTCATTTTCTCTTACTCACAGCACAGTTTGGTAGCTGGCGCTCTCCTGCCCCATGAGCAGTGCTGTGGCATCTGGAAGTCACTCATGCACTTGAAATATATTTAATTTCTTCTTTGAGGCAGGTGTCAGGCATCAGTGATAAACCAAATAAGCAGTCCTTGCCTTCCCAAAGCTTCTGCACAGAGATGCTTATGTGAATTAGTAACTCTAAATAAAAACCATATTTTCAAAAATAATTTCTGGGACAAAGGAATGTGTGTCATATATGTGATTTCAGTAGCCATTGAGAGAACAGAGTGCTGTTAGCAGCCACACCACTAAGAAAATTGAGATTTCCAGCACTGAGGACCTCCTAGATCTGAGAGTCCTTTCATAAAATTGTCTTTGGAACTCAGGAACAGATGCAAAGCAAAAGTATCACAATGTGTTATGAATCTAGCAGACGTTTGTCAGATACTTGTGTTACCCCAAATATTATCCCGGCTTGCAGCAGGGCAGCTCTGAACTCAACGCACCCTTGGCTTCCATTTCTCACAGGTGTGCTGGGCAGGCAGAGGTAGATGGGAACTGCACTTGTTCGAGCAGAGGAATAGGGTTGGGCGTAGGATACTGCAAGGCATAGGTGAGGGCCTCTCACAGCAGAGAAGTCACCTGAGGAGGCGCTGGAACATGGGAGTAAGGTAGCGACTTAAAGAGGAACGGGTGTTCTGTGCCCAAGGTACACGAGGTCCAGCAACAAGGGGGCCCTCCGCACTCAGAGAACAGGACCAACGCCGTCCGTGAAGATGAAGCTGATAAAACACTGACGCCAAGTCATTGGCTCCCCAAATACTTCCACACCACTGCTTCCTTCCATCAGTGGCCCATCAGCATGCTCAGAATTCATATTCTCCTGGAAGCTGGTGGGTCCTACAGAGGAAATGAGGAGAGGGCTCAGATCTACTTCCTATTGCCAATAGGTCCCAGATTAGGGGTGCAGATGTTAGGACCTATGTGAACTGAACAGGGGGAAATGATCCTAGAGGCACAGAGAAAATACCATAGGCAGGTAGAGGAAGGCACATTCTCAGCTAACAGGATGACTTCCTTTGGAGAAGGCACTTGACTTCTGAAGGCGGAAGGTCGTATTCAGTGTGGGCAGTTTCTTTGCCCAACAGAGGAATCATGCTAAGCAATGGTGGAAAAAGACCCCACATGTCCATGGAAAGGAATGATCAAGTGTGGCCTCAGGAGCCGGTAGTCAAATCTTTCCTCCGCCCATCCACCCACCCATCCATCCGCACACCCACTCATTCATTCACTCACTCACTCCTTCGTTCTTCCATTCATAATTATCACCCAGTACCTGGCGAAGGAAAGGGCATCCTTCATGCCCCCGGTAGTGAACAGTCATTCTCTTCCTGCACAGAATTTCCCTGAAATCCAAGGAGCCTTCTACTGAACACGCATTAGGCAATGTTCATTTTAATCTCAGTTTTTATCAAGTAGTACAAGATCCATGGGAGCACCCGGCCAGTCAGTGCTTAGAGATGAAAGGTCAGAGGAGAGAGGTCTGAGAGATAAGCTGGAAAAGCATGTCGAGGCCAGAGAGCAAAGTACTTTACCAGACCAAAGAGTTTGGAATTTAACCTCTCGATTTTCCTGGAAAACAGCCCTCAGTTTGGGTGCAGGCATTACCGGTTCCATGGCTGGAAGAGCTCGCGCTCTGGAGTCACAGAGTCTTGGCTTTAGAAACCATGTGTGCCTGGGTGTGTTTCTCCGCTTCTCTGAGCCTCCCGTTCCTTATCCTTAAAATACTCCGAGTAGAAGCTAAGAGGTACTGAGCACCGCACCTTCTAGAAGAGGCAATCACCAGATGACTGTTCCCTGTTCTTGTCCAGTGTGGGCCCTGGTACCACACGTGGTGCCTCAGATCAACCAGCTAGTAAACCAGCAGTAGTGCCAGACCCTGTCCAGAAACTCTGCAGGTCCAGGGTAAGGTGACACAGTGGCTGGACCACTGAGGGGCCAGAGACGGGTGCGCAGTGCTTGAGAGCCTAGCACCTCTGCTTCTTTCTCAAACTCAGCTGTGCCTGGGAATGAATGGATGAGTGAACCACAGATCCCAGGCCTGGGGATGGGGGAAGGGACTCAGGAGCTCCCGGAATGAGTCTCACGCTTTTCCTGGCTTCAGAAGCAGTGGCGGCAGCCCGCTGGCTGCTCATTGCCAACACCCATGGCCACGGAGTCCCCCATCCCAGTGGTTGTGCTCGTGTGGTCACCGGCTGAGCGGCAGCACCAGAAAATTTGTCAGGAATGCAGAGTGTGGGGCGAGCCCAGGCCTGCTGAGTGGAAAAGCACAGAGCCAGGGTCCGGGAGACTGCTGTAGGGAGCCCCAGGAACAGCGTGAGTCCCATGGTGGGACAGCACTGCCCCGTCCTCACCCAGGGGCGTCGGAGCTTGGCAGAGGAGGCTGTACAGAGGATGGGGACAGTGAAACCAGCGAAACGGGGGGATAAGCATGGAGAAGGAAAAAGCAACAAGGAAAAGAGAAGGAGCCCCAGCGTGGGGAGACCTGGGTTTGTTGGCTTGTTCCACTTGACCTTGGCACTGGCAGGCTTGCTGCAATAATAGGACCCTAGTTCCTCCGCGCAAAGACTTCCCTAAGTGAAGAAAGCTGGATGCCTGTTTCTAGGGGTCTGTGTGACCTTTACCAAATGATTCAGCCTCTCTGGGTCTCTGTTTTATGAGGTGCAAAAATGGGGGCTTGAACTGCCTGGTGTCGCAGGGTTCTTCCTCTAGGGCTTTTTACCACACTGCCCAAAGCAGCTGAGTCTGCCCTGCCCTTTGGGGTAAAACCTAAGTCAGCATCGTCTCCTGTAAGTCCTGTAGGACCTACAACAGAGGGGTTGGCTGGGGACCTGGAGTAAACAACTTCCTTCCTGGAGAGTTGGCGCATCCTGAGGCTGTGTGGAGGGAAATTCCAGGCCATCTGGAGGCGAGGGAAATGCAGCCCTCTACCCACACGTTACAGGCACTCCTTCCGGAGGTAGCATTATGTCACTGGGCCCTCATGAGGACTGGAAAGCTGGTGCTGCAGGGGGCGGGGTGTGAATGCACAAACTCAGTCTTCCTCTTCTCCTTCTCCACAGGAGGTCCCCAGCGGCCAGCCAGCCTCCCGTGTCCAGAGTCAACCTGCAAGGTAGGCCGTGTCCCTTGGGATCTACCTCCATGTGTCAGAACCATTATTGCCTCTGATCCAGGGCTGTGTTTAGAGCAGTCGCATTCGTTTGCATACCGTGACTCTCAGAAATACATCTCTTGGCAGTCTTCTCTAAGAGTACACTTTGCTTAGTAGGGAACCAAATGAAAAGCAATACTAGGGCTTCGCCCATCGTGTGGCCATGCTTCCCGGGTGGGGTGAAGGGATACCCCTCTCTCCCCACACCGCAACAGGAGCAGAGCTGTGTTGAGATGCAGCTTGACCTCAGGGTCTGACCCCAAAGAGCTATGGGAGAGCCAATCTCAGAGGCCCCAAGTGCCCACACTGGCCTGAGGGTCCCCCAGGGTAGGCTGGTGCGTTTCCTCTTAGCTTCTACCATAGATCCCACTTGACTATATCCTTTCCAAGTGCCAAAGTTTCTTCCCAGATCACAATCATCTCTCCGGGAAGTCATCCAACTTTGTTCTTCCAAGGTATGTTGTTTTAGAAGGACGCGCCTCCTACTTTTCAGAACTGTGCAGCCACCTTTGATGCGGTGCTGAGCACTGCTGAATGGCTGGGCCCCCTTCAAGGAGCACCACGGAGAAGCATCGAACATAAATTCTTCTTTGACACGAACTTCCAAGAGTTACATGACCTTTCCTGAAGTTGAAATGGAGCTTTTCCCGTGAACCTGCCCCAGTATTGTGGCAGTGAATTTCAGCAAAACCATAGGAGAACAGTTAAGGTGAACACACACCGAGATCTCCTGACATCTACCGGGTCTCGCAAACTGATCTTCCCTACTGGGGTGATGTGGTCACCTGCTAGCATTATGACCTTAAGTATCACGGAAGTATTTATAAAAGCCCCGCTTCTAAAGCAACAGAACAAAGGCAGCAGATTCAATTGACTCACTGACTTCTGAAGTATTTATGGTACATGCTTGTGGAAATATTTTTATAAGATTGACAGCAAGAATAAAAGTGAAAGGAAGACATTAAGTAGAGGTGAGTTTAGTTGAGAGCCCTCTGGTACGAAAGAAAAAGAAGTAAACGGTACTCTATCCATGGACTTCAAAGTCCTGGTGGCTGGATGTATTATTTCCTTTAGAAGTTTTATAAAAAGAAGCAAAATAGAATGTGCTAGCATATAACTGGTGTTACACACTTGGAGATCAAAGAAGCCGGTTCTGAAACTCCTTCATTTCGTCTCATTGGCCTACCAGTGAGGTGCTGTTGCCGGCCTTTCTGTTTGCCAAATTTAGTAAAGATGTTTCTGACATCCGTTTGAATATTTAGACAATGTTCTCTTCCCTTGGAGTAAATACTGACAAACATTAGGGGAATAGGTGGTGTCTATGGCTCTATAAATGAGCTCGTTAGCTACAGAAGCTGTGCCGACGATCATCCTGTGATTATTGGCACAATCACTATAGCTTGGCAACTAGAGGTTCTTTTGCTAATTTCTTTAAAACAATAGAGTGAAGAAATGACAATACCACTTAGGCAATTTGTTTTTTGTCTGTCTTTGTGGCAAACTACAAAACTCCTGGCTTTTCACTGGGAAGAGAATGCAGCGATACCAATTATTACGTAATTATGGGTTTCAAAATCTTCTTAACGTTTAACCACAGTCAGAAAAGGAAGGAGGAGACACATCCCGTGTTTTGTTCTTATTATCAGCTTAAATAAGCCAGGCAGATTTTTCCTGTTATTTTAATATTTATCAGCATATGACAAAGAAGTGTGTTTAAATAGCAACTTTAAAGAGCAACAAAAAATAAATGGCTCAGAGCAACAGAATAGAGAACCGGAGTGCTGGTTTAAAACGTGATTTTAGGTCGGGCGTGGTGGTGCATGCGTGTAATCCCAGCATTTGGGAGGCTGAGGCAGGAGGATCGTTGCAAGTTCAAGACCAGCCTGGGCTACAAAGTGAGCTCAAGGCCAGCCTGAACTGCATAGCGAGACCCTGTCTCCAAAAAGACAAAAACATGATTTTTTTATGATAATTAGATCAGGTTTTCAGTTATCAATACTGAGCTGATGTCCTGTATTTTAATTGAAATCTAATGTGAAAGGAACAAGAAACCCATGATAATTCAAACAGGTTTAGCAACAATGTAGTTTATTAGCAAGCCCTGGCTCACTTAGACAAGGGCATCTTCTATAGAAGCAAATTGTAGAAAGCCACTTCTCCTCTTCTTTCTTCTTCTTCTTCTCCTTCTTCTTTTTCTCTTTCTTGCTTCCTCCCCTTCCTCCACATGAATGAAGTTCAACTCACTGTAAAGCTAGTTGTCAGAAGTCAAAGTTAAATTGGTACATTTGCAAATTGATCGTTAAGCAAAGCACTCAGTGGGGACTCTGTCACCTGCAACCCCTCCTTGTCCTTCAGACCATGGTAATTCTCAGCTCTCCTGGCTCCCCGCAAATCCCTCTCCTTTGATCAGGCGTCTTCATAGTTTCAATGTGGCGTAAGTGCTGTCTACTGTGCCATGGCAACCATTTACTTTCAAGATACAAGGGCCCTGGCCAGCGCACCTCCTCCCTGTGGAGCTTGCACTTTGGAAGGCAGGGCTGCACCTTCCTTATCCCTAGCACTCACATGCCTAGTGTAACAACTTCCATACAGTGGGATCACAGTCAATGTGAAATTGACCAGAACGCCAAAAAACCTCTGGACTTTCTCTGAGGGAAAATGCCCACAAAATTTAAACTTAATAATCAGCTAATATTTTTATCTCTACAGCTACGAAAAATACTCAGTTGTGTTTTTCTTTTACGGTACATTAAAATCAACTGCTGCATTGAAATCAAAGGAAGTCTGAAACCCCTGCAGCTGCTAGACCTGTTAGTGTGCCCATCGAGGACCCAGAGCCTTGCATGTGCCGGGCAGCCCTCTACCACCTCGCTGCAGTTATAGCACCTTTCATTTCACTTGTATTTTGAGAGTCCTGCCAAGTTGGCCACGCTGCCCTCAAACTTGGGTTTTTCCTGCCTCAGCCTCCAAAATAGTTGGGATGACGAACATACCCTACATGCTAGGCTTAGGTGGTGGATAAAAAGAGTTAAATATAGGAAGTTGGCATTTTGTTTTGCCCCTTGAACAAGAAAGCCAGGGTAAAAAGTAATGGCGAATTTTACCCCCTGGAAAAAAGACCCAAGTGACAGTAAATCTTCCTGGGGAGTTGAAAATGTAACGCCACCAGGTTAAATGAGGATCACAATTTGTATCACATTTTGCAGTTTCAGAAGCATGAATTCCAGGCTTTTTAAAATTAGACTGGAAGGAGAAAGAAAGTGCTTAGGCTGGAAGCAGAAAGAAAGGAAAGGAAAAAAAAGAATAAAAGAAACACAAGATAGGAACCCGATGCCTGGCACCGACATATTCAAAATGGAATCCGAAATAATGCTTGGGATTTCAGACCCCAAAGCTACTTCCAACAGGATGAAAGCCTGGTGTTTGGAAATACCGGACCTGCAGGCATGGTGGGTCCTCTCTTTCCCACCCTGCCCGTCCTTTCCTCCTCTCTTCGGCTCCTTAGCGACTATAGGCATGCGTTTAAAGTGAGAATTTGCTGAGAAGACAAGTTATCAAGTGGGCTCTGCCTTTACAAAATGACTGCTTTGCAAGAAATTTGAGAAATGTTGTTTTTAGCAACCAGCACCTGGGTCATATAAGTGTAATTTGATTTATAATGAAATATATCATGTACTATATGTGATATTTTAACAGCCAAGTTGGTATGTAGGATGGGATGTTCTATACTAAGATTTTTATCCCAAAATTTACCAGTAAATCTACCAAGCAGGACCACGATCAGATATTACTAAGAAGTCTATGGGTCCTAGAAGTGACAGCGAGCCATCTCACCAGGGTGACTACCAGCGTGCCTTGAGACGGCCTGTCTCAGCCTGGCGCCCACAGCCTCCTTGATTTATGGTGGTTTTTAACATCAGTCATTTGGAACACATTTCAGGAGAAAACTGGGTTTGGGGGGACAGGATGAGGTGCACAGGGCATCCTGATAAAGTCCGAAACAGGTTTGCCTAAGTGAGAGACACACTTAATTAAGGCTCTTGCAGTACTCCAGGGAAACCATTTCTTCTCACAAGTATCTAGGTCAGTCTGGAGAAGGAAACGACTCTTGGCCATTGATAAAACTGAAAGAAAAGACTTCTCCTAGGAGGCCTGCTTCTCCATACCTGTTGCTCCCATAGCTTTATGATTATGACCATTTCTGAAGGTTCTGCCATGTACCAGATACAGACTCGGTTCAAGAAAGGCACGCGGAGCTCAGTGAGTTCCTCTGGGTTCTGAGCCATTCAGAAAGTCAGCACACTGGTGCAGTTCTCCTTGATACCAGGGCTTCCAGGGCCTAGGACGAGAGAGGGCTCGGGGGCGCGGGCGTGGGGCTCCTCCGCACCGTGATGGCCGGGAGCTGAGGGTGCGCGGCACCGGAAGTGAAGGCCAGCGCAGCAGAGCCCTTGCTTGGCGTTTCCCTTAGGCAAGAACTCTCAGGCAGGATTACAAGACTTATGAGCAGGAAAGTAGGAAGAAAGTCAGTCTTGTTACCAAAGCTGTGACCAGCGCTGGGAAAATTCCAAAAAGGGAAAGGAAAATAAAGAAGAAAAACAGAGAAAGAAAGAGTTAGAAAAATAAAAATATTAGACGATTTCATTCTGTGTTTGGAGTGCTGTGTGACCTAAATTATTGGGATAATCAACTTAATTACCACCTTGGTGTGCAGGCAGCTGCATCCAAAAAATGATAATGAAAATGCAACCCGTAAAAAGCCCCAGTAATTTCAAAAATAATTCTCCTTGTAAGGATTGTAAGGTTGTCTTGTAAGGATTACAAGGGTTATTTTTGCCTATAGTAGTTAAAGAAAATGCACTCCAGAGCATCATTACTGAGCTGGTTATATTACTTTGCAATTATTTCATATATATTTAAATGTAGGTATGGGGTAATTGCAAAAATATATAGCCAAGACAGCT